GAACTTCTGAAAAAGGAAATCAAATACTGTCACTCCTTGTTCTAAATCTACCATGGGATTCTCATGATACTGAGACTAAAGTCCATAACCATGAGACTCAAAATGATGTGGCCCCTTGTGACCACCTTCCCTCATTTTCCTGTCTCCCATTCTCCATCCTCCACATCCCTCAAGTCTTGCTAACCAGAATCACCAAGCTTACTCCCACCTCAAGACCCTGTCACTCACTGATCTTCTGGCTCTCAAGACCCTTTCCCCAGAACTTCATCTCCTTACCAGCTGTCTACCCTGGGGAACCCTCCCCTCTAAGTACTCTTTCCTTCTTCAGGGCTTTACTTCATTGCTCCTAGTCTGACTTCCCTTCACACATCTACTTACTCCCAAGGAAACATGCTCCATAAGTGTAGGGACCTTTTTGCCATCTTCACAGAGGCATTTTCCATCCCTAGAATGGCATCTGGCACCTGTAGGTGCTTAATAAGGTATTTACTCAATGAATAAATGAATGAGAATTGAGAGAATCCCAACTCAGGGCTGCCTGTACCATAGCAAACACTCTTCCTTTCACAACACCAAGTTAGCACAGAGGCCCCTGAGAGGGACAGCAGAGGCCCCTGGGAAAGACGGTGTATGTCAGAAATGGGAAGATGGAAAGCCAGGATGAAACGGCCAGGAAGAGAAGCAACTGCCCACCAGGCATGGAGGTTTTCAACAACAACAACAACAAAAAAAAAACAGTGAAAAGGAGGCGTCTACCTGGCATCCCTACTATTTTTCTAGCATGTGCTCTTCTTGGTTCCAAAAGCATCTGATACCACAGCTTTGCCAAGGTCTTGTCACCTCTCCCATCCACAATGTAAGGGACCCTGGAACTAAATCAAACAGCCTCTGCCCACAATGGGAGCTGAGACAAAGCCCTTAGTCAAGGGGAGATTGTCTCTGACCACAGACTGAAAGGGCTCAGATCCAGAAGGGAGCTAATGCTTGCTGCGCTCCTGCTATGACAGCGATCCCTGCACTAGGAAATAAGAACCACAATGGGACAATGAATATTCACTGATCACCTCAGAACAAGGTTGGCATGTGGTTATGTACCACATAAATGGTAAAAATTTAACCATCAGTTAAATTAATAACCATTATTACTGTTATCACTATGTGCCAATCATTGTCACACTCTTTCAATACCATGCCTTCCATTCCTCACATCCATTTTCTTGAACTGGGTATAAACATGTTTGTTTTTGGTTTTGCTTTTTTGCTCAAGGCTAGTGTTCTACCACTTTGAGCCACAGCTCCATTTCTAGCTTTTTTTTTTTTTTTTCTGTAGTTAATTGGAGATAAGAATCTCACCAACTTTCCTGTCTGGGCTGGCTTTGAACCTTGGTCCTCAGATCTCAGCCTCTTGAGTACCTAGGATTACAGGCATGAGCCACTGACACTCAGTATGGCATGTTTGTTTTCATGTATTTATTTCTGGCAGTATTGGGGTCTGAACTCAGGGCCTGCTGCTTGCCAGGCAGGTACTCTATCACTTGAGTTACACCTTCAGCCCCACCTTTTCATTTTTATAATCAAAATAACTAGGACTCAGTAGTTAAAGG